GTGGTGGGTGAGGGGGGTTCTGGAGGAGGGATACCTGCTGAATGAGGCTCCTGGAGGAGGGATACCTGCTGAATGAGGCTCCTGGAGGAGGGATACCTGCTGAATGAGGTGGAGTACATAGATTCTAGTGCAATGTTCTATGGTCTCTGGGTCAGAAGGGCACCGTGGCTGCTGGCAGAGGAATGACTGTATCTGTAAAGAAAGCTAAATTTTCTTCATCTCTGACCATTTTGGATTAAGAAGGTGTGTGCATGCCACAACATAATGTGGATTAAAACTTTGTTTTTACTGAAGCTTAAGATGTATTTTTACTGAGATGACGGTAGTATACAAAATTATTTAAGAGGGGGAGGAAGAATAGGAAGATGGATCCTCAACTGTTGAATTCATTAGGAGCTGAGAGAGCTGAGCAATTCCTAAAATTGGATCTTTAGTTAACAGATAACCCAGATATCTCAAAAAAAAATTGCTCAAATAGATTTTTCTAAAACAAGTCTGGAAACCATGTTATTAATATGTAGCAATTTGAAAAAGAGCACTATCTTGTACTTGAAGAACTCTGTGTAGCCTCCAAAGCTTGTCTCTCTCATGAACAGAAATTAATCCAATAAAAATATTACCTCATCTCACTTTGTCTCGAATATTCTGGGACCAACATTGCTACAACACTTCAAGTATCAGTAGATAGAATTTAGCCTCATAGTCACACTGTTTCTTTCTTTCTAAAATGCTAGAAATTCCCTCTACATTTTCTCTCTCCAAAACTAATGCCTGAAAGATGTACTTTCTCTGAAGTTAACAGCATAAATGATGTGAACACCGGCAACATACCATACCAAGCAGCGGGAGTTTCCTTTCCTTGTCAAGAGTTCCTGTTCCCTCTGGTGAGTAGGAGGGGGAAATGCTGATGTCACAACGATGTTTCTCTGTACCCCTGGAGACTACATGAATTTTTCTCTCCTACTGTCAGGTCTGCAGATGCTTCCTCACGGTCTTCACTCTGGATAAATGTCCCTTCTGGGGTTTACCAGCATTTATAGACTGCTGAAATTGTATACTTCCTTTTTCAGAATGCTAAGGACTTGTCTGCAGTAAAAAGTTTTGCCACTTCAGTTATACCGTCATGCCTAGTTTATACAAATATAAATTACTAGTCTGCTACAAACAATACCCCTATAGTGTGGATGCATTTATACTGGTATAAAAGTGATTATACCAGTATAGCTTATTCCAGTTCAAGAAGCGAAATAAGTTAAACCAATATAACTGTGTCCATAGAAGGGCTTATACTGGTATAATTGTATTGATAAAAAATCAGCCCCCCTAACCTGCATAGTTATACCAGGACAACTTTACAAACATAGAGCAGGCCTAATTCAGGGCATCAGGGTCCAACTGCAGCTGTCCCACCTTCTCTGTTTCAGTCTTGAGTTGATCTTAACTCCCACTATTGTTTCTCAGTCAGACCGTTTTTCCATGGGGATATTCTAGAACATTTTCCAAAATGGGCCTAAAACTCATACTGCTGCTAACTTAACACCTGGGGACAGGTGCTAGTACACCACATCACTGCATGTAATCTCATTTTGAGACCTGTTTTATTTAACATATATTTACATAAACACATCAAAACATATACACACAGTGCATACTAATAAATATGTTATACAACACACTGTTTGATCTTCCTGTTTCAGTGATTTTCTCAGATCACTGGTATGTTGTATAATGGGGACCAGTGAGGAAACTATACCATACTGCAAAAGTCTCATTTCCAATCTGAAAGGAAACTCAAGTACCTCTCAGTGGCTGAGGTGGTATTATTTGCCCTACAGTATATATTTTGAGGATATACTATGTTTGAACTCTCTCTAAGAAGTAGGTGGCCATGCTGTGCTCAGGCTGTGCCCACTCAGGTGGCCCATCTGTATTTGTCTGTATAGCCCAGGACTCTGTGGAGCCACATCTACACTAGGACATTGACCCATTCTTGGCAACCATTGTCATCAGCAGGTTCCTTCTGAACTGGTGTTGAAGTGGATAGTGTGCATGGGACAAAACTATTTTTAGCATCATTATTGCAGAAAGTAGGATGAAACAGTGATGTAATAAGCTTTTGGTAACATTGCTAAAATGTTGTTGCCCCATCTACATGAGCAGTCAAACATATTGTCAGCATGGGTTCAAGGTAAAATCTGTTGCTGACAACCACTGTTAGTAATGGTCAGTGTCCAAGTGTAAATGGACCTTTAGAGTAGACAGAGGAGTTGAAATCTGTAGGAACTGTGACATGTTTGAACTTCTTATTGGAAGCCCCTGTACAGAAGGCTTTTGCTGGAAATCTGTTCACTGAATGAACAGAAATATATGAGCTATGTGTTATTCTTAAAATCTGTTTTCTTTGTAAGCCCATGATGCATT